CAGCAAATGGGGAAAACGGGGCTTCCGGAGGCGGCAATAAGCTATGGCAATCCCTGCAGCCTGAAACAGCTGATCATTGGGAGGCCTGTGCTGAAACTGAAACTGAAAGTAAAACGGGTTGGGAGGCTTTTTTCCCCCTTGTGGTAATCAGGATAAACTGAAACAGGCTGCTTGCTTCAAGGAAGTAAGTCAATAATTATTATAAATGCCTATAGAATGTTCAAATTATTAGACTTATTTTTTAAAGACTGCTTTATTATTGTTCTAGACTACTTAAAAAATTAAGCTTTTTTAAAATAAATGCTTGATCCGAAGAGGCCCAGTGCTATTGTATCTTCTTTTAAATAGCAGAGAATAACATATACTTCCAGAAAGCCACATCAATTTTAACAGCATCTGTGCAAGTATAGTCTGAAATTAACACCACAAACAGTGTATATCGTCTGTACTGTTTGCTGTTTGCTGCAAGGAGGCAAATAGCTAGGAGACAGAGGCAGACTTTCCCCCCCTTGTTTTCCTTCCCAAAAGTTAGGTGTGTCTTATACTTTGGAGTGTCTTATACTCCAAAAAATAAGGGTAAATGTCATCTATTAATGGGTTTGTGCTTTCTACTTGCATTTAAGAATTACCTTCCTTCTTCTGAGAAAGACGAAGACAAAACAGCTACATCTGTTGGCAACACCGCCTGTCCACTTTCGGCGTTTTGGGGGATGAGTTCATTATCTGTACCTGTTAAGAAAGACCAATCATATTTCATCTGTTTTCTAAAAATGCTAAATTTGAAGATCCCTTCCTAGAATAGGACAAGGTGCAATTATTAATGGCAATCAATCAGTCATGACAAGGTAATTGACCAGGATTGAAAAAGATTATTGAATTGACAGTGATTGGAATAGTGGTTTTTTTCTTTATCTTGCAGGAAATGAGTCTCATTGTGCCAGAAAGCAGAATGGGGCTGAACCAGTGGTGAAATTCAAATTTCTTTACTACCGGTTCTGTGGCGTGGCTTGGTGAACATGGCAGGGGAAGGATACGTAAAATCCCCATTTCCTCCCCACTCCTGGGGCCAGCCAGATGTGGTATTTGCCGGTTCTCCGAACTACTCAAAATTTCCGCTACAGGTTCTCTAGAACTGGTCACAACCTGCTGAATTTCACCTTGGGCTGAACTCATGGGTGAGAGATGGGTGTGCAAATGACAACAGGGGTGCGTATCACCAGGATGCAATTACACAATGCTAGCATACCATTTCCAGTTTATTTTTGCTTTTTATTTTGCCTTTTCGTCCCAAAGCTTCAGGTAATATACACTGTGGTCCCATTTTGCCTTGCAAGGTCAATCCTATGAGATAGGCCAATGATGATGATGATGATGAGGGGATGGGGAGAATGATCAGCCTTCGGCCTCTGTTCCTACTCTGCCACCTTCAGCACTACACCATGCTGGACCTTGAGATGAGAGGGTACCATTTTAGCTCATGTTTTCGCCACCATGTGCACATTGAGTCCTAATTCCATAATTCAAATCTCTGGTT